ACACTTCTCCCAGATTTCACAGCCGAAGCAAAGCAAAGCAATCTCCCCACCTCCGGGGGAGGCAGGAAAGAGGTCCTGCCCCTCCAGCAAACCTGGGGCACCCCATCACACCCACCGTGTCCTCAATCTTCCCCCATAGGGGCTCCCCAAATCCCTCCCAGCACCACTTGCCCCATCCCACAATGGTGGCCTCTCAAGAGGACAGAGAGGGGGACAAAGCAGCTCTGTCCCCTCTTCTCCTAGGGGTGGCTTCACAGAAACTCCTAGAAGTGTAGCCGTGTGGCCGGGGGCAGAGGAAGGGGTCTCTGGGCTGGGCCAAGGACAGGCAGGAAGGGAGATCGAAAAGGAAGAATGGCTTCCTCCTGAGCTCTAGAGTTATCTTTTCAGGGGACCCTGGGGAGGGGGGAAAGCTGTCTTTAGGAGAGCCAGCTATTAAAAAACCTGCTATCAATCCTCCCTGGTGGTGCAAGGGGTTAAGACACAACCTGTGAAGCAAGCTGCAGCCTCTGCAGCACAAGTTCGATCCCCAGCTAGCCAGGGAGCTACCCACATGGCGCAGCAGACCTCTCCTGTCTCGCCCGCTGCTCCCCTCAGCAGTGTGTTTCAGTAGATCTGCCTGTTCTGTTCCCCACTCTGTCTCTAGCGAATCCTCTCACCCCCCTGCATCTCTGGCCTGTATCCCAGCTCTTGTGTGCATAAATAAAAATAAATCTTTAAAAAAAAAGTTGCTATCCACAAACTTGGGGGAAGGGAGAAAGGAAGGAGGCCAGAGCAGCAGAGACCCTGAAATCCTTGCTAAAGTCACCCAGACCCAGGGGAACCCAGCACCACCAGGCCCAGGGAACCCCTGGCTCCCTGCAAAGATAATTGTGCTCAACACTCCCCCCAAAAAGATGTCCATATCTCTTGGGCCTTCCTGGTGGTGTAAGGGGTTAAGCACAGCACTATCAAGCTATCAGCAGCCTCTGCAGCATGATTTCGATCCTTGGCAGCCAGGGAGCTACCCACAGGGTGCAGCAGACCTCTCCTGTCTCCCTGCTGCTCCCCTCAGCAGTGTATTTCAGTAGATCCACCTGTTCTGTTCCCCACTCTGTCTCTGGTGAACCCTCTCACCCCCCGCACCTCTGGCCTGTACCCCAGTTCTTGTATAAATAAATAAATAGATCTTTTAAAAAAAAAAGTCCATGTCTCAACAGCCCCCACCCCCAACCTCTTAAGTATTTGGAAAAACAATTATGAGAAAAAGGGGCGGTTCCTGATGTCACTGCTAAGGACCCCAGGACCACGACTCCTGGACTGCCCTGGGCCCTAGACCCAGTGACAGTGTCCTCACAGGGGACAGAAGGCAGCTCTCCTCCCTCCTGCCTGTGACTGCGCAGGCGCCTCTCCTTTTCCCTTTCTCTCCCGTAACGGTGCAGAGAGACAGACAGGAAAAAAGGCGCAGACACCGAGGACAAGGAGGCAGAGGCCAGAGCGGCACGATGCGGCCACAAGCCAAGGAAAGTCAGAGGCGCAGAGTTGGAAGAGGCAGGCAGGATTCTTCCCTGGGCCCCTGGAGGGAGCCAGGGCCACTGGCACCCAGATTTTGAATTTCTGGGGTCCAGAGCACGAAAGCATAATGTTCTGTTGTTTTAAGCCACATGCTGTGGGCATGTGCCAGGGCGGCCTCGGGAAATCAATCCTGGCTCCTCCAGGGCGCAGCAGCTCGGCCGCCCTTTCCGTGACGGCTCTGCCCTCGTCCCCGCCACCCGCCACCCGCCACGCAGCCACGCGGGCGTTTTCTGAGTGGAGAGCAATTTCCCCCAAAACGAGTGAAAGAGAAGCTGACTGAACCGCCACTTCAGAGACGCCACACCCCGCGCTCCAGGGCGCTGCCCCTGGCTGGGAGGCAGGTGGGCTTGGAAAGCACCAGGGCGGGGAGAAGCCCGGCTCACCCCGCTCACCCCTCCCGGGAGGAGCAGCTTCTCGTTCGCTTCAGGCTGGTGCCGCCGAAAGGGGAACTTTCACTGCGGGCCAGCCCCAGACTCCATGAAGGGTTTGGGCCCTTGGGGACTTATGGGCCATCATTTGGTAAAAGTTGGGGCGCCTGACCACAAGGAAAGAGGGAGGAGGGAGGCTCCCAGGTTTTTCTTTCTTTCTTTTTCCATCCTGAAACTGGCAGCATTTCTGATATGATGGCAGGGGATTTCCACCACCCAAATGAGAGAAAATTCAGTGTGAGCATGAGCAGCAAGGAGAGGGGGGGTTGCAGTCTTGAGCGTTTATAAAACACCCACAAGGGCACAAAGATGGGAATGTTTTCCCCCCTTCTGCACCAGCCGGGCTGGGGGCAGCCTCCGGCGGGCATCAGATCTCAGTCCTGGCCGGCTTGACTTGGGGGTGGGGGGCAGTGCCCGATACTCCCAGGCCTGTGGCCCTGCGGCCCCTCCCACAGCTTTGCTGGGAATCCCGACTGTCCCCTGGGGAGTGGCTGAACTTCCCTCTGGGCTGAGAATTTTTCTAAGGTCCCACAGTAAGGAAACACTGGGTGGGGCCGCAGGCCCCCCTCAGGCCCGCAGAAGCAGCTGGCCTCCGGGAGGGAGGGAACCGTTCTCTAAACAAAAATGGTTGTGAAAACTAAGGCAGCTAAAGGGGAATTGCTTCATAAGTTGCACATTCACTTCTCCCTTTAACTGTGCAATTGAAGAAAAACAAGGTGAAGCAGGAACTGACCCCTTCACCCCCATCCACATCCCCAGCAGCTCCTTCCACACCCAGACACGACAGCATGTGAGGCTGGTCTCATGATGGTGGTGGGGTGTCCACCAGCCCCCCAAGGGCTGCACCCCCCTGCTGGCCGGCCTTGTTCTCAGCACCGCCCCTCGCCCCCAGGGAGAGAGAACGCAGTGAAGACTTGCTGAGGCTAGGACAGCTGGAGGGCACAGCCCACAGGGCAATGCAAAGACAGACTTCAAGGGCCTGGGGTGCAGAGAGCTTGAGGCTGCTTGTCCCACTGGGAAGGGGCAGCAGCAGAGTCTCTGGGGCACCTGTTCCAATTCCAGAAACATCTCTGTTTGCAGAGTGGCCAATGCTGGCGTGGGCGGCAGCGGTGGGGAGAGCCAAGGGCAGAAGCAGGTGAGCTTAGCTAACTGGAGAGCACGCAACCGCCGAGCAGGTTTTAAGAGCCATCCCCAGTCCTGCACCCCGGTGTCTTGCATTACTTGGAGGAGGTTTTGAAAGCAGCAAAAGAGAGAGACTCAACCTCAGCGGGCACCAGGCAGGCAGGCCCAAGGTGCTGGCAATTTCAGCTCTGGAGTGCACAGAAAAGAAAGTTCTATTCCTGTCTCTCTTGGTTTGGGGTGGCAGCCTCCTAAGTCAAGTCTTTGCACCCCCACTTATCACAGAATCAAACTTGGTGACTAAAGGCCAGTGGTCAGCTTTAGGAGTGTGGGGCAGGGGTTGAGGTTGCCTCTTTGAAAGGACACCCCGTGTCTCCCCGCCTTCACCCCAGGAGAACTAGTAGAAACATCCTCCTTCATCTGTGAACAGCAGCACCTCCAGAGGATGGGGGCCTTGCCTTCCTCCGAGTCAGCTGCGCGCCAACTGCGAGCACCAGCAGGTTATTTAACTCTTCTGAGTCTTACTTCCCTCCACAACACTCAGCTCCTAGTTTGTAGAATTGCAAACACCTGACCCAGGAGCATCCACTGTCAGCACCAGACACCACCCGCCTGGGGGGCTTCTCCTGCAGTGAGGGGGGCCAGCCTCCGTTTCAAAGTCTCTCTGGAGCAAGAAATCTCGCCCTGGAGACCCAGAGAGAGGAAATGTCCCCAAATACCCCAAAAGCATCCTAACACCCCCAATCCCCCACACACACACATGCAACTGTGCCAGGCATTTCTGAGAGTGGGCGCACTGGGGTTTCTGCACTGGGTGAAGAAACCCCCATTTGACAGTCGGGGGGCGGGGGAGGGTTCGAGATCCTTCTTCCAGGGAGCACATGAACAGAATGACTTGTATCACGGCGGGGGGCTGCCGAGCCGCCCCCCTGCCGCCCCCCACACAGGGCAGATCCTAGCGGTGCCCAGCGAGGACCTGGCAAGTGGGTCGCCCCGGGTCGCGCCCCACCCGGACCCCGAAAACCCGTTCCACCCTCACCCCTCGGGAGCGCGCTTGCCTCGGTCCTGGGGGGCTCCCCAGGCCTCCCCTGCCCCGAGCCCAGCCGGCGCAGCCGGGGTCCCCGCCCGGTGCCCAGGCCAGGGCGCGCGTTCCCAGCTCCCGCGGTCCCAGAGGAGGCTAAATAAAAACAGGAAACTCGAGTTAAAAAAGAAAAAGTCTCATTCAGATCAAGAGCAATAAAAAGAAGAAGAGGAGCCGGAAATGCGCGGCTGGAGGCGGCTTCGCCGGGTCGGCTCCGCCGCAGCCCCGGGGCTGTCGCGCTGCAGTGAGCACGCGGGGGGCCGGCGCGCCCCGCCTGGCCGGGCGCAGGTCCCCCCACCCCGGGGCAGCACCCCCAGGGCTCCCCCGCCCGCCGCCGGTCTCCGCTGCCCGCGCCGGGCGCCACAGGGCGCGGGGCCGAGCGCGCCCCTCTCCTCGCGCCACGGCGGGGCCCCCGGGGGTGGGCCCGCAGCCTGCACCCCGCGACGAGGCGGGGGCGTCTCCGTGGGCGGCGGGCGCGGGGCGGGCGCGAGGGCCGAGCGCTTCCCGTCTGGCGGCGCCTCGCTGCGGCCCCGGGCTCCGCCGCCGCGCTCCGCGGAGCGCGCGGACCAGACCCTGGGGGGGCCGGCACCCCGCGGCCGGCCTGGGGCGCCCGCGCGGCCGCAGCCCCACTCCCGGCCGGCCGCCCCGCGGGGGCAGCGCCCCTTGGACGGGCTCCGGGTCGCGGGGAGTCTCTCCCGGCCGGGCGCACCCGCTCTGCGCGCAGAGACACGCCACGAGGACGGCGCCCGAGACCCCCCAAAGTCTCCGGCCTCGGTGCTCCTCTGCCCACCTCCCCGACGCAGCGAAAGGCGGGCGCTTACCGGTGCCGGGGCGCCTGGCGGGGCTGGGGCTGCTCGGCCCGGAGGCCTCGGAGGGCGCTCAGCGCTGGGCGCGAGTGAGGCTCGAGCCGGGGAGGCGGGGCGCAGAGGGGGCGCCCGCCTGCTGACAGCCCGCACGCTGCACTTCCCACTTTGTTTCCTTTTCACTTGCAACAGGAAAAACAACAGGTCCTCCCGCCCGCTCGCCGGCCCCCCTCTTGGCCCGCCCCGGCCCCTCGGCCGCTGCCCCGCCTGGGGCTGGATGCGCTGCATCCCCGGGCGCCTGGAGACGGCACCTTGTCCTGCTTCAAAACAAAATTTCTCTTTATACAAAGGAAAACAACCAAAAGTTCATAAAAACCCCCACTCCTTCCGCGTGAACACGCCAGAGAATTTCCACCAGAGGCCGGAGAAAGCCCGGAGGGTGGGAGAGGGAGAGGCGGCCCCTGCAGTCTCCGCGCCCAGCGCCCAGCCCTGGAGCCGAGGCCCTGGGCTGGGGCCCTGGGCTGGGGCAGGCGGGCGAGGGCTTGGAGCTCAAGGCTGGCGACCGCCAGGCTTTGTGGGTAGGAAGTGTAGGATGGCGGGACTACCCCCGCGCCCCAAGTTCACAACAGCAGCTTCAAAGCCTCTAGGATAAGGTGGGGGGGGATTTGAGCCAGGCGATTGCTAGTGAAGTGCTTCACGCGCCCAGGCCACGGCGGTCTGGGAGGCAAAGCACCCGCTTGTTCCCTTGGACAGAGAGGAGCCTGAGGCTGGAAGAGGGGCTCTTTCTACCCAAGAGGCCAGCAAGGGGAGGAGCGGAGGGTATCCTGGCAGAGGAGTGGGGTACTGCATGGTCGTTTTCTAAGCTCTAGGGTGCAAGCTGTGGCCTCTCAACCTGCAGACGAGCGCACCTGCAGACCAGGGGCACCACAATCCCTTTGGGGGAGAATGACCTAACACCCTTCCCAAGAAAGCCTCTGAGGCTCAAAGCCTCTCTCCTGCCCCAGGCTGAGAAAACTGGTCCTGGGCAGAGGTCTCCGGGCCCCTGCGAGGAGAGAGAGCCAAGAACCCAAAGGGAAGTGGACATTTACCAAAGCGAATCCGATGGCGGGAGGTGGGGGGGGGGGGAGCCTGCCCAGGACTGCTGGGCCGGTCCCTCGCCCGGGTGAGAGGTTTCAACACTGCCCCCTGGTTTCCACTGGGAGGCCCGGCTGAGGAGCACGTTCACATCTGCCTCCTCAGGTCGGTGCTGCGGGCGCTTCAGGTCGGGTTTTGTCATATTCAGGAAGGAGGTGTGTGGCATGCTGAGACGCGCCGCACACCCTCTCCTCCAGCGCCCCCAGGACGATCTCATCCGCGCCGCTCCCCAGGCAAGAGCGCTGCGGCCCTGGAAGGTCCAGTCTTTGCGGGGCCAGCTGCCTCCAGACCTTCCCGCCGTGGGCCACGGCCAGTGTCAGAAGTTTCACTTTCCCCGGGCTTCACACACTTCCTTTCTGAAACCGTGCCATAGGGCTTATCCCCCGCTTCTGCCTGGGGTGCCAGGAAGCTCCAGCTAACTGTACCCAAGTTCTGTCCTCCTGAGTCCCCAAGTTCCTGGTCTGCACGCCTCTCCCTTCCTCCCCACGGTTTCTGATCCCTTTCACACTTTATTGTTACCCACTGCCATGTGTGGTTTGGAGGAAGCTACAGGTTCCCATGGATGACCCCACCCGGAGGGGCGTTGGCAGCAACCCTAAAAGGAGGTGTCAACACGCACTGCTCCCGAGATCCCACCCGGGCACCTTTAGCAGGGCTGGGTGGTGGGAGCAGGCTGGGGGCGGGGGCTGGGGGCAGACTGCAGGCCTCCGGGCTACCTCCTTGAGTTCCCCCACCCTCTCTTGGAGAAGTCCCCGGTCCAAAAGCCACCCAACCCGCGATGCAGGGGCATCTTGAGGGGCTTCACCCCTGACACTCATACGTGCCCACAAAGAGGGCAGCCAGAGCCACGTGGAAGACAGGAGGGGGCGCACAGGGTGTAATTAGGAGGCACCCGCTTCCTCAGACCCTTCTCTGTGGGCCCCAGATACCTGCCTTCAGGCCCCGTCCTGGCAAGAACCCCTATTGCCGGGGGTCCTTTCATGGCAGGCAGAGCAACAATTATCCAGCTCTAGCCCTCGCGCTTTCGTCTTGGCAAAGAAGAGGGGGGTGAAGCTCAGTGGTAGGAGCGACCTTCCTGGAGCCAAATCACCCAGCGCCGCCACAGTGGGGCTGTGTGACCTCAGGGAAGTGACTTAACCTCTCTGTGTCCCCCATTTCTCCACCCTTGGCGAGGGAAGCTAATAATGGCTGCTTTCAGGATCATTGTTCGGCTTAAGTGCGCGCACGTCCTGAGCTCCAGCGGCGCCTGCCGCCGAGTGCACGCCCAGGAGCCGGGAGTTAAGCGCTTACTGTCTTCAAACAGCCCTGTCTGTGCTCAGAAAGAGTATTGTTTCCACCTTCTCCCCAATAGCAGCCACAGCAGGTTGTGACGCATGAACACGTTCACTGCTGGAGATCCATGCAGAGGGTCGTGTGCAGCGGGACCTGGGGTCAAGAGGTTGGATTCACCTTTGCACCCAGGTACAGGGGAGTAACCCCGTCTTTGCAACACTCCTGGGGGAGCTGGGCCAGTTACACCCAGAGCTGGGATCCAAGCAGGCACCAGCGGACCCCCTCTCTCCCTGAGCCTAAACTCCACTGGGAAGAGAAACTATGAAGAAAAATAAGCTACAGTGTCACAAAGCTCTAAGGCTGCAAAGAGAGATAAGGCAGGTCAGGAGGGGAGCCAGGGAGGGGGCATGGAGGGACCGATGGCGTCAGGGCTCGGCTGGGGCCAGGACGTGGGGCCAGACCGTGACCTGAGGACTACAGAGGCTGTGAGAGTGTCTGAGGGGAGGGCATCGGGCAGAAGGAACAGCAGAGGGAACAGCCCATGCGAGGTGCCGTGCTGGAGGAACGACCAGGAGACGTGGGATAGAAACAGCTAGAAACAGCCCGGAGGAGGGGGCAGAGCGGCCTGGGGGTTTGGGCCTGGCCTGAAAGCGGGATGAGAGGCGGAGCCGGGCAGGTGCTGGGCAGGCTGGGAGTGGCGAGCGGTGATTTCTCCTGTTAACAAGTCTCCGGTGTCACATGTCACAGACTCACTGCCTTGCCTTGCCAAGGATAAAGGTCTAGAAAACAGTAGGGCCCAGGCGGCAGTGAGTGTGCCCCGCCCCTGCTCTGGGGCTCGGATAATCTCCTCAATGAAGGGAGCCACGGGAGAAACGGTTCCAGGATGGAGGCAGGAAATGGACGAGCAGCGCCAGGAAGCACAGAGGGCTCCGAGCAGCGGAAATGAAATCCCACGGGGATGGGGTGACCGGTGAAGGGGGTGACGGGAACCTGGTCGTGAACTGAACAAGCTCCCTGTGGCCAAAACTGGCGCCTTGAGCAGCAAAATAAAGCCGAGTTGGATTCGCACCGCAGGTGCAGGAGCGTGTGCTGGTCGTGAGTGAACAGCGAAGACATGAAGAGCGATTCAGAGCAGTAAACCCCGCTTGACAGAGGCGGGGGCAGACTGGAGGCTGTGGGGAAGCGCTGGATCTCGGGGTCCCAGAGGAAAAGTGTCAAACTCCCGTGCCCCATCAGACTCCAGCGGCCCGACGGCCAGGGCGGGAAGAAGACCCGGGTGTCTCGCTTTCCGCGCGTGCCCCTGGGGAGGACGCAGGCACCTCACCTGCTCACAGGAGCAGCAGCTTAACCCCCGCCTAAGTGTGGGTGCACCTGGTGGTTTCCTTACAAGGAGACAGTGGGGGCCGAGGGGGCTGTATCGTGGAGACCCCTGATGGACACCACCTCAGCCAGGGTCAGGGCGAGACCCCGCACCCTTGACGTGACGTGGTGACGGAGGCACCTTGTAAGCTTCCTCCCAAGAACCAGAAATGTCAGTCTGGTCGTGAGAAAAAAACACATAAACCAAAATGAGGAACATTCGACAAAAACGCCCAACGGTTCTCCCCCAAACGGGCGGGATCAACAAAAATAAAGCAAGTTTGAGAAGCTGCGGTGGCCCAGAGGAGGCCGAGGAGCGGAGGATTGAAGGTCAGAGGCCCCCTGGACAGAAAAAGGACACCAGCTCAAGCCCAAGGTGATGGCAACGCAGGGTGGACTTTGGAGGATAATAACGTGTCAATCTTGTTTCGTTGGTTGCCACACATGCTCGAGTCTCGTAGCCACAGGAGAAATTAGACGTGGGCATGTGCGACAGGCTCTAGTCTAGTTTCGCGATCAGCTTTTCTGTAAATTAGACTCTTCTAAAGTTAAAAGTTTATTTAAAAAAGAAGGTTAAAATGTTTGGGAGGTGGATGGGCCTCCCTGGCGGCGCAGGCGGTTGAGCGCAGCGCTGTGAAGCTGTCCGCAGCCTCTGTAGCGTGGGTTCGATCCCGGCCAGCCAGGGAGCTACCCACATGGCACAGCAGACCTCTCCTGTCTCCCCGCTGCTCCCCTCAGCAGTGTATGTCAGTCAGTCTGCCTGTTCTGTTCCCTGCTCTATCTCTGGTGAATCCTATCACCCCCGTACCTCTAATCTGTACCCCAGTTCTTTTTTTTAAAGATTTATTTATTTATACAAGAACTGGGGTACAGGCTAGAGGCATCAGAGGGGGAGAGGATTCACCAGAGACAGAGTGGGGAGCAGAACAGGGAGATCCACTGAAATCCACTGCTGAGGGGAGCAGCGGGCGAGACAGGAGAGGTCTGCTGTGCCATGTGGGTAGCTCCCTGGCGGCCAGGAATCTAACTGGTGCTACAGTGGCTGCAGACAGCTTTACAGTGCTGTGCTAAACCCGCTGCACCATTGGGGAGGCACCTGTACCCCAGTTCTTGTATGCATAAATAAATAAATGTTAAAAAAAAAACCAGCATGGATTTGTTCTTTCTCAGTTCTGGAGGCCAGAAGGTTGGCGTGAAGGTGTTGGGGAGGGGCTGCCTCCTCCCAGGTGGCTTTGGCCTCAGGCCTCTGATTTGTCTCCCAGGCTGGCCTGCACCGTGGCCTCTTCTCTGCCCCCTCCCTGTGTG